GCTATAGTAACTAATCTTTTTTTTTCCGTGTGGTTAATTAATACGCGTGTCTGAATAAAAAGTGCGATTATCGAACTGCTGCTCTGAGCTATGATACCTTATAATTCAAGTTGAACGAAGCAAATACCAAATCATACATAGAATACCTCAAATTGCGGAGTTTAAAGATTAATACCATGTTAAATATATAATTATAATTAAGAAAAGTTAATTTTTACGAAACTTTATTCCATCTCATTTTATCTACAGTTTTTAATATTTTTACATGGAAAAGAAAATGATATTGTATTAACAGCATAATTAACAGCAGTCTAATTAAAAATAATCTTGTGAATTCAATAATAATAAAATGAAACAAAAACGTCATGCTTTTGTTCTATTGTTATTGTTCTATTAGTATTAAATTATATAAGATTATTAAATTTGAAATTATTGACTTCAGATTATTTTCAATTAGACTGCTGTTAGCTAATGATATTAACATCAATTTTTTTCTGTGTTAATACCGATTTTGATACGTCATGACATATAATTTTATACTATTCTACTATAGTACTTCAGTATTTTATATTACCGGTCTCGGTGCTTCATCGTACTAATGCGCACGTTTGTTGAATTGGACAGAATTTCATGAAGATGCCGCACGTTCTAAACACCGTGGTCCATTTGGTCAATCTGGTGGCTTACAGTTTCACACTATATTATGCCTTTAAAATATTACACATTCCTTTCCTCGAAAAGAAGTTCAGCGACTTCGAGCCTGGCCAATTCAAGTATTTAACAATGTGGGATGTGGTAAGTAGTAAACTCGCTCTCTCTCTCTCTTCTTACAAGGGATACGTCACAACTGTCCGAAATCGATTCTCCTTGAAATATATTGTGAAACACAAAAATCTAAGAGACACATATTTTTTTTCTATATGCCCATTTTGAGATTTAATTAAAAGATGAGACAACCCCCCTCCCCTTCGATATCGTCGAAGTTAATGTATACCTAAAAGCGACATAAAGAAATAGGACGTAAGAGAGTAAGAACGAAAATAGTTTCAAGAGACTAAACTACAGATATTACAACGAAATAATATGCAGAGAATAAATAAAGAAACAAAAGTTTTAATAATTCTAAAGAAAAACAATAAAAACTATTATTAACCCCTTACTATTATCTATAATCTGATAATGATAGAAATATCAATCGTACATTGCGCGCGGCGCAAAAGCTGCACAGAAACAACGCATAGTGATTATTTCACTCATTTCTCACAAATGTTGTAAAATAACTCTTTTATATGGATGAATTTGGCATAAAAATGTCTTTAATTTTTATTTATAGAAGAAATGTAATTTCACAAAAATAATAATAAGGATCAGGATATTTTGAAAACTATGTATTAGATTTTTGGAAAATTTAAATACAGTTATAAAGTACATAAAAAATTGTAAAAGTTTTATAAAATCAAACATTTTCTTATATATTTTACCGTTTCGACGATAATTGCTTAGAATCAAATATAAGCGTTATTTTTAAGGGGTTGTTTTACCTCTTAATTTCAAGGAGCCAAAGCAATTAATTCCGGACAGTTGTGACATGTCCTTTGTTATAGCGAATTCGGGCGCTTGCACTAGTGTACACTGAGTGCGCACTAAGGCTTGTTCTAAATCAATTATTATATTTACAAATCATCTTAATTACTTCTTAATCTATAAAATGATTTGTACACCATCTATATAGATATTACAGATTATTTTATTAGCCAAAAAATCTTTAAATGTGTATTTGAGCGACTTTAAATATAAGAATAGATTATAAACAAGCCTTAGTGCGCACTCAGTGTGCACTAGTGCAAGCGCCCGAATTCGCTATTAGATAAAATATCAGATATATATAATATATAATATATAAAAAGTGTATGTATTATTTATTATAGATAATATAAAATATTACAAAATAGGCGTAAAGTGTAAAATATATAAACTACATAAAATATATTTTAGAATAAGAATATTGCTAACAGAATGATAAAAAGAGCAGTTTCTCCGCAGAAAATACTTTTAAATAATATGTCAGTCACGTTATAACGTCAAACATAGCACAGATTTTTTTTTAGTGTTTTAAATAAAATAAATTTTTCAAGTAATTTCTTTAAAATCGACCGTGACTGGCAATATATAACGTCTTTCCGATATGAACATTGAAAAACTGTGAGCCAACTTGGTTTAATTGTCGGATTCACACAGCACATTTTCGGATCAATCATCGAGGCATTATTAATTTCAACCATGGGTTTTGGTCAGTTGATGTATTTTCTAAGTGAAATGGTTTTAAATTTTTATTGCAAAAAAATCAATTTTCGCAAATCAACTGACCAAAATCCATGATCGAAATTAATAATGCCTCGATGATTGATCCGAAAAAATGCTGTGTGAATCCGACAAACCAAGTTGGCTCACAGTTTTTCAATGTTCATATCGGAAAGACGTTATATATTGCCAGTCACGGTCGATTTTAAAGAAATTACTTGAATTGTTATTCTATACTGGCAAAGGAAATTTATTATTCTGTTTAAAATAAATTTTTGTTGATATCTTATGAAAAATGATACAGTTCCGTTTGCTTGATATTTTATATACTAGAAACTAGCAATAAATATGTATAATACGTATAGCAACAATTAATTATATTATTAGATATTACATATATAAATTGAAATTTTTAATTACTCTTAACATACAGGACGTTTCTGCAATAGAAAATTCTAAAGCTTTAAGAACTTTCTTGGGAAAAAAAAACAATTTTTTTCGCGTTATGAATATTTTTTATCTGTAGCCGAGTTATAAAAGTAAAAATAACTGGCAACGTTAAAGGGGTATAAATATCGTTGTCATTTTCTACCTAGATTGGTCGATCAGAGCTTGAAATGGAGATTGAACGATTCTTATATGGAGTAAGCTTTCATATAGCAAATCTATCAAATTTTTTGTCCAGTCAATTAATTCATCGAATCGATATTGTTTGAGTTCTGCTCGTGGCATACATACATACATACATAACTAAGTTTTTTTGACGTCAGTCGTTGTAAGTTATACAACAAACTTTTTCGAATACAGATACAACAAGGTCTTTGTTAAATAACATCTCTTTTTACGGCTGCAAATTTGACACGGCCACGAGTCAATGTACACGTGCAAACCATTGAGTCAGCGAATAAATAAATAGAATTAATGCTCTTTTCATTGTTACTCTTTTCATTGTAAGTTGTGACTTCTCAGAAACAGAAAATCATGTAAACTTGCATTATACTTACGTAACGTAGAAATATAAATTACTGTGTAAATTAACGACAAACTTTGTTGTACATACATAACACGCTAAATGTTTGCGTAGTGCTTAGACGCGTTTAATTGTTAAAATATCAATTATGACAATTTTCGACAAACCTGATTCTAGTTGTTCCACATTAATAAATGAATGTACAATTTACATTCCTCTCTTCTCTCTTGCACTTGGCGTTTCGAATGAAAATGTATCTTGTGATAACTGATCAAGATTTATAGGCATTTATTGGTCCACGAGATTGTTTATTCTGGAAATAACGTTCTCCAATTCTATTAGAAAATATTGTCTCGAAATTTGTAAGTAAATGCAGGGGTTTAGCTTGACCTGGGGGTACTGCGGTACCTAAAATAATTGGAATAAACAAAAAGAAAAGCGAGATCGTTTGGACGAGATTATCCAAATTGACAAACTATCTTATATATCTATTGATTTTTTCTTATAAAACAAGTATCGTACAGATTGAACCATCTGTCGTTATTAGGTCATTGATATGGACGCTTGCACAAACATATTTGAATATGTAAACACTACTTAAGAAAAACAGATAGCTGAGACTGTTTTATTAAAAACAATCTAGCAACCGTGATATGATAATTTCCCGCGGGGCTGGAATATTTCTTTAATAAGCTAGTTTAGTTAGCGACAGAAAAAAAGGAAATTCTTTGCTACCTTTTGCTATCTTTAGCCACTAGTGCATTAGTATATTTTATCGCTAATAAAACAAGGCCGATTAGAACCAACAAGTCTTGGTTTATAAGTCAACCGGATTACGTTTGTATCGGGTGTTTCAGACTTAACCATTGCACTTAACAAAGGATGGAGAAATACCATTGTTCCTCCTTCACTATTGTGTCATCAACTTCGTGTAATTCCAAGTTTCTAGAAAGTCTAGACCTTGCTCAGAGCGAGATTTGTCTCCCCCCTCTCTCTCTTTCTCTCTCTCTCTCTCTCTCTCTCTCTCTCTCTCTCTCTCTCTTCCTTCTTTCCTTTCTCTTGCACGAATCGCTCCCCCGAGAGCAGCTTCGTTAAAAAATGAATTAGAGCCTTTGATGCCGGAGAAATACGCACTATATCTTTGAACATTAAAAATAGATTTAAAAAATATGATATAACAACTTGAAATCAATCAATCGTATCAAACGTATTCAAGTTTGAGTATCGGCGGCACGAGGACGAGCTCTGGTAAACCGAGCATAGGAGAATCGTAGAGAAAAAAAATCACAATCACGTAGCTCCCCACGAACGGTAGCTCGAAGAAATACGCGGATACGCCTGCACAAAAGTGGCCTCGTCGCTCAAGGTCCACGAGTAGCAGTGAAGAATAATAACCAGGAGGCCGATATTCGATCGGTGGACGGCGATCGATTCAAGCTGATCGCATGCTGGAACGCCTGGAACCTCTCAATTTACGGGATCGGCCGCATTCCTTCAAGTTTCCTCCGTTCGCGGACGGCGGAGGAAACGGGGTTTCCTAAGGAGGATGGGGAGTGGAGACGCGACGGGGAGAGTAGGGCGCCCAGGACACCTAAATCCACCACTGCGCCACGTTCTCCCCTTCCATCCTTTTCTCCGTTCACGGCGGCCGCATGAACCAGTGCCAAACGCACGCACGCTGCGGTCTTTTCTCCCTTCCCACCCGCCCGTTTTACTCCATTATCCGTCAGTAAGTCGCGGGCCGCCGACACGAGTGCGCTCGAGGTGTATCTTGTGCTGGACCACGTGTGTGAAAAACGTCGCGGCTCGGTGTCTCGCGCCCCCCCGGCGCGAAAGAAAAAAATTGTAAAAAAAAGAAAGAAAGAAAAAGACAAGAAGGGCAAGACGCCGCGCACCACACACCCGACCGCGCTAAAGAATCGAGGCGCGCGTTTTCCGCACCAAGTAAGGGTAGATCGATCGGTATACCTCGAGGTCGTGGAGAGACGGCCGTGCGTCGACCGATTAAAAATAGGGTTCTCTCTCTGTCTTTCAGCCTTTCTCTCTCTCTCTCTCTCTCTCCCTTTTGCGAGACGCGGGCGTGTCGTGCACGACGATAAAAGTAGAATCCGGTCCTCCTTGCCGCGCGTGTACACACGGGCAGGCAAAGTGTTTGCGCGATCTCGACCTCGGAGTTCCGAACCCCCGGTGTGCCGTTCACGCGCGAGTAGCAACAGCGTTCCCCGCGTTCGTACGCGCACACGCGTACGTACGCGTGCACGGCACACGCGACGGGAGCATGCCTTCTCGTAGCCGCGACGGCCGTCGGATCGTCGACGAATCTTGTTGTCCCCCGGTGAACGAGAGCGTCGCGACAACCCTCGCCGCGCGGGCAAGACGAGGTTAGGATATCCGCGGACGCACCGCGCGTCCCCAGAACGTCTCCAGAACCCCGCTGCGCCTGGCGCGGCGTCAGCGATCGCGGAATGATCGCCGCTTGTTGAACGGCAGGTAGATCGGTTGTTGCCGTTGTTGGCTAGATTCCAATCGCATCACGATACGTTATAGCGGGACGCACGTGGAAAATATTGCCTTCGTAAATATAAAGGAGAAAAAAAGAAAAATATATTTTGTAATAATATAATGTGGTGTAAACTTAGAGTTAAAAGGATGCAAAAAGAGCGGGAAGGGAGTAAACTTTGGAAAATCTCTTATCGACTTAACTTTATTACGGACGTATTGCAATTTATCCATAAAAGAATTTATTATTATTTATTTTTATTTAGTCAGTTTTAGATGGATTTTTAAATGCTGATGGGAAATCAAAATTGTAGATTTCTTTAAAAAAGGCATAAGAAAATCGGTTTAAACTTTTTAAAATCTCACACTGCAGATCTGTCTCTTTTATTGTAAATTCGAATTTTCCACGATTTGAAATTTGCAATTTATCCATTGTTAGATGTATGAACGCTAGAAAATCAAAATTCCAGATTTCTAAAAAAGGTATTATATATAGAGAGGTAACCAGTTTAAACTTTTTAAAATCTCTCACTGATCTGTCTCTTTTATTGTAGATTCGAATTGGCCGCGATTTGAATTTTCTGCGGTTTGTCTGTGAATGAGTTAATTATTTATGTAATCAATTTTTAATGACAATCTATAGATGATGAGAAAATTGCGAATCTTAAAAAAGACGGAACAAGGAAGATCGATATAAACTTTTGATAATCTCCCACTCACCAGCAGCTTTGTATTGCGGGTTTGTAATTAATTAGAATTTTCTACAGTTTATCTATTTTTATCTATTTTTTTATATTATTATCTATTTATTCAATTTTGATTATACGTATAACGTATAGGATACATAGAGATAGCGGTGCGATCTCTTTCCTATTTCAGAATTTATAGAATATACTTAATTGCATTGTTGCTTATGATTTCGCGGAAATTGTCGAGGTCGTTAGTCTGAAGAAACAAGAAGCATAGTCGATACATTCGCAATTTATCTTTCGGCCTTTTGATTGAAGATCCAGTACCAAATAGGTTGCTTAAAGGAAGAGATACATGGTAGGAAGTTCAAGTCGTAATAAATCATTGCGTCGCGAAGATAACGAAAGTAATTTTAATAAATCATCGTATCACCGTCGTACGCGTCGTAAATGCCAAGACGGCACTTAATTTCTGACGTTGACAGAAGGAATTAATTATAAGTCAATTTAAAAAGTTGTATACTTTTTAATTAGTTAAAATACTCGTACGTTATGACAATTATTTGAAAAGAAACAAAAAAATCCTATGTCGCGCAATATATCGTAAATAAATTATCTTCCAATTGTCCTGCTTTGATTGAAAATAGTGTTTTGAGAATTGTTGATCCGCATTGGAAGAAAATATAACAGATTGAATACAATGCCATTTTCTTTTTTGTGGAAAAACATACAGAAAAAGAACGACGGAAATGACACGTTAAATCATACTTTCTCTTTGTACGATACGAAACATTTCCCCATTTTAATCTACTTTTAATTATTACAAACTTAAAAATATGTAGCAATATTAGGCCCTGCGATATACAATTAACAAAAGATTGCTTCAAGTACCAAGATCAACTTTATAATTTTATAATTTACGTACTTTCTTTCCCAAGACACTCCATTGTCTTTGAAAATTTGTTATACTGCCATTATTAATCATTAATCGAATTATTAATTAATAATTAATCGAATTATTAATCATTTTCCCGCCATTTTATATTCTTGTTTTTATTTTCCCGGTATATTCTCGTAATTGTTCTTCGAGCTTTTCTTTTTCAATCTACTCGAAACTTTTTCTCATATTTGCATCGGCTTCTCCAATCGGAAATTTGTCCAAGTTCGCACTTATCTGCTCTAACGTGCTCGTTAAACCGCATGCAATCGACAGACCGCAACACCGCGAGTTGACAGCTTCTGACGGCAATAAGTATCGGACGACATTGTATCGACAATCGTAGAGTAAAAATGCTGTCCTCGGGTGGGTAATCGCGTTCCAGATTCGTGAATTAAAAAGTCTCTGTCGCGCAAAGTGAGTTATGTAACGTAATAGCCGGGCAACGGGTCACCTAATATTTCTTTGAACGCCCCGCAGTTCATATTAAAATCCGTGAAAGGCCGTATATTAATTTTACGCTTCGGTAGCAGGGCTAAAAAAAAAAAGAAAACGAGCTCATCCACGAATAGGTGAGCCCCGATGACCCAGTAAAAATATAAGGCGATATTAGAGTTGAATTTGTCGAAGACTATATAGGTATGCCGTGCATACGCCAATTATTTTAAAACTAGATTATTATCTCTCTCGTTGTGTAAACTAACACTTGAATAATGCATACGCGTTATACGTATGCTTGTGCATTATTCAAGTATCAATTTACACAACGAGAGAGATACGATCTAGTTATAACGTGTTTCTCTTTGAATAATTTTTTCACTTTCATCCTTTTAAGTCGACAAACGTTGCCGCTCATTTTGATACTCGTTATTTTTGTTATCTTTATCTGATTCATATTTCCTCTCAGATTTTTATCCTCGCTTGACATTCGACACTCGCTTGACATTAATTCAATTCTCACAATCAGTTGCAGTCTATCTCTATTCGATCTTTTAACTGACAAGAAAGGGTCCTCTTTTATAACGACTTCTTTTATAAAAAAAAAGTTTCGGTAAATTCGGACTAACACCGGTCCGTCGTGATATACTTTGCGCTTGCATAAAGTGCTTTTACATTGCATAATGCGATTAGCAGGATCGCTTAAGTCTTAAATGGACGATAAAACGCGAACGCTTCTTTGTCCAAGCTATTGTTCTTAGCTTTTTAGTTTCTACGTGACATAATGTTTACCGCTACTTCGTGTACCGAGAGTGAGTGTAAATCACTTTTCCTCGCGAGAAGTAGTACAAGATAGAAATCAAGCGTGCATGGAGATGCGAAGAAGTGAATGAATAATGGTGAGGTAACGAGAGGCTTCACACATTTTCTCGATTTTATGTTGAAAGGACGGGTTTATGTAACGATATATAACGTTTCATGTATATTTCTATACATAAAACGTATATATATATTTCCGACATCTGTCTTAATATAATCGGGCGAATCTTATTTTCTCGGACGAAATCGTTGAAACACGCGCGCCATAAAAATTAAATTAGGAAGAAGAAATTTCGGCGACGTTGGTTTATGTAAATTACGTGAAACTAAATAAAAAGAAAGGAAGGAAGAGAGAGAGAGAGAGAGAAAGAGAGAAAAGAAAAAAACGCGCTATAGATACAATACAAACATACATTTATAGTTGTGTTAACGTTTTAAATTAATTAACAAAATCAAAGCGTCTTGTTTTCTTGAGTTCTCCGCTGTGTTATTTAGGATCTCCATTGATTATTATTTAAATTAATTCAAATGCAATTCGAAGCGATTCACTTTCAATTTCACAAATGGCTATTTTGCATGTAACCTTTCTTTGATGATTTACTTCTTTCTGTAACCATTAAAGAAT